AAAAAAGATTAAAATAATACAATTCAGTGTTACACATCAAAAAATAGATTCCTTATAATTGTTTTCTCTGGTATTCAAAAGTGAAAATAGTAATATTTGATTTAGAAAAAAAATGCTTTCAACGATGAGGTTTCTGCATTATACATGTATGATATTTATGACTAACATTTCTATCAAATAACTTGATAATGCTTAATAAATTTAATCAAAATTTAAAGACAGGTACTTATATTCGATATTTAAATGAGTTGTCTTTACTGATCCTCATATATATCAAGGTGTAATGTATAGATAATGACTTCACTATACTCTCACATTTGTCAAGGTATTGATTATAAAGGTTTAATTGTTATATAAGGCATACATTTTAGACAAAATCTGTTCAGTGTTCACTACTGGTATGATTTTTCAGATGTTCAATGAATTTAAAATTTGAATAACTCTGGAAATATTATTTAACTTTTTAGGGTTTCTGGGCACAATGTATTCTTCAAAAATCACTAGTGTTTAAGAAACATGTGGCTATGAAATGTTGTTTTTTTTTTCCATTTGTATTCTCTCTAACCTGTATGTATCCACTGGTGCTGAGTATTGGTGAATAAATTTTGAAGGCATTGTCACATTGTCAATTTTCACATTTCAAAACTTTCTCTCTGCTATGATTATTGTGGTGAGGATTAAATTTTAACCCTTTCTTAGTGGAATGGTTCAATGGTCTCATTTATAAAGCTTATCTCCAATATATTTTCTCTGATGTCTAGTAATGTATAATATATAATTTAAAACATTTCTACATTCTCTATATTTGTATGTTTCCTTTTCAGAATAAATAGCATAGTGGTGAAAAAGAATTGATTTCTTATTAAAAGCTTTGATACATTGTTTTCATTCATAGGTGTTCTTTCCTATTAATGAGGTTTAGTTTTTCTTTAAAAGTATTATCACTTTATTTACATTTCATATTCACCAGGGTGTCTTCTGCTGCGGTGAATAGTTTTATTTTTTATTAAAAGTTTTGCCACTTTATTCACATTTTTAGGGCTATTCTCCAGCGTGAGTTCTTCTATGATGAATAATGCCTGTTTTATTCTAAAAGCTTTGCCACAGTTGTAGGGCTTCTCTCGAGTGTGAATTCTGTGTTGCAAATAAGGTGTGATTTTCGATTGAAAGCTTTGTCACATTCTTTGCATTGGTAGGACTTCTCTCCAGTGTGACTTCTCCTGTGGCAAATAAGGTTTGATTTTCGACTGAAATCTTTGCCACATTCTTTACATTTGTAGGGTTTCTATCCAGTGTGAGTTCTGTTGTGGCAAATAACGTGTGATTTTCGACTAGAAGCTTTGCCACATTCTTTACGTTTGTAGGGTTTCTCTCCAGTGTGAGTTCTCCTGTGGCAAATAAGGTTTGATTTTCAACTGAAATCTTTGCCACATTCTTTACATTTGTAGGGTTTCTATCCAGTGTGAGTTCTGTTGTGGCAAATAACGTGTGATTTTCGACTAAAAGCTTTGCCACATTCTTTACATTTGTAGGGTTTCTCTCCAGTGTGAGTTCTCCTGTGGCAAATAAGGTTTGATTTTTGACTGAAAGCTTTGCCACATTCTTTACATTTGTAGGGCTTCTCTCCAGTGTGAGTTCTTCTGTGGCTAATAAGGTGTGATTTTTGACTGAAAGCTTTGCCACATTCTTTACATTTGTAGGGCTTCTCTCCAGTGTGAGTTCTCCTGTGGCAAATAAGGAGAAATTTTCGACTGAAAGCTTTGCCACATTCTTCACATTTGAAGGGCTTCTCTGCAGTGTGAATTCTGCTGTGGCAAATAAGGAGTAATTTTAGACTGAAAGCTTTGCCACATTCTTTACATTTGTAGGGCTTCTCTCCACTGTGAGTTTTGCTGTGATAAGTAAGTCCTACTTTTCGACTGAAAGCTTTGCCACAATCTTTACATTTGTAGGGCTTCTCTCCACTGTGAGTTCTGCTGTGGTGAATAAGGTCTGTTTTTTGACTAAAAGCTTTGCCACATTCTTTACATTTGTAGGGTTTCTCTCCAGTGTGAGTTCTCCTGTGGCAAATAAGGTTTGATTTTCGACTGAAAGCTTTGCCACATTCTTTACATTTGTAGG